TTTTGTTCCTTTTCTAGCGACATACCAACTTCTTCCTCGCCGCTCGATGGTTCCGACCCGCCTCGGACCGTGACCTGGCGAGAGCTGCCCCTCGCGGAGGGTAAACCCGCTTTCTGCCTCCGGGGAGGGGTTCCGTCAGCCGGCGTCGCTGCCCCCGCGTCTCCTCCGACGCCAACCTCTGAAATCTTCATGAGGTCTCGCTGCCGGGGAGCGGCTCTGGTGTCTGGGCAGGCGGCAGCCAGGGATGTAATTGCAGGAATCGTCTTGCTGGCTACCCCGGGTAGTTACTCCTTCCAACGGGTAAACCCGCTTTCTGCCTCCGGGGAGGGGTTCCGTCAGCCGGCGTCGCTGCCCCCGCGTCTCCTCCGACGCCAACCTCTGAAATCTTCATGAGGTCTCGCTGCCGGGGAGCGGCTCTGGTGTCTGGGCAGGCGGCAGCCAGGGATGTAATTGCAGGAATCGTCTTGCTGGCTACCCCGGGTAGTTACTCCTTCCAACGCACCGGGCTTTAAGAGGGGATTTTTCGCTGATGGGGGGGAAATCCCCGGCGTGGTTGGTTGTTGTTGGGGCTGCCCGGTGTGCCGTGGTGCTGCGCTGGAGCATCCAGAGCCGGCTGCAGGTACCGCCGTCGGAGGTGCCCGGAGCTTTGCTTGGCGCATCCCATTAATAAAGATCCCTGGTACCTTTTAGCATCAGGGAGAGGCAAAACATCTGGATGCAGCCACCTTATTTCCCTGAAAAAAGCACAAGGCGGGGTAAGAAAGTTGGGATAATCTGTTAGGGGGCCTTCCCCTCCTGTCTGTGATCCCTCCCCCGAGCAGAGCGTGTCGGAGCTGCTGTGGGAGTGGATCTGGAGGTGCACAGCCTGGCTGGCTCTTTGCATCCCTAGGTTTTCAGGGAAAGGGATGAGGTTTTGTTGGATACCAGGGCATTTGCCATGCCAAGAGGGAGCGTGGTCTCTCCCGGGTGAGGGAACGTCACAGGTTTATGTACCCACCTCAGACAGCCCAGGAATGGAGACGGTTAGACAACTGGTGGGACCATCCGCTCCTCCAGGAAGCTTCCCTGGTCTTCAGGTGTTAAAAAACCCCAAACAACTGCCTTGAAAATAGACTTTCTGAGGGCGGCGAGAGCCGACCGAGCAGCACATCTTCCGCAGGCCGTCTGCTCCCGCGGGAGGAAGCGTTTTTCCCGGGAGACGAGCCCGGCCATCACCCCTCTCCTTCGGGAGCAGGAGGACACGTGGAGCCTGGGCGGGGGGGCTGTCCCTGCCTGCCCCGGGAGAAGAGGGCAGGGGGGTGCGTTTGGATGGATCTGTCGGGAGATGTGTGGAGGGGCTGGGTTTGCCAAGGCGGGCGGCGCTTTTGGGTGACGGGGTGGGGAAGGGCGAGCCCGAGGGGGTCGGCAGGACAAAGGCGGCTTGTGCTGGGTATGAATCACCCATTCTTGTCCCCCTGGAGCAGATGCTGGCCGAGGGCATCCCCCTCCGTTACGGATGGTGCTCGCTGGCTCCTGCTTTGTCCTCCTCACCCTTCGGCGGCAACGTGATGGCGCCAGGCCATCCCGGAAGGACAAAACGTCTGCTTGCCCACTCGTGGGGCAAAAATCCAGTCCCCTTCCTCACTGCTGCAGCCGGGGAATTTTCCAAACCATTTTCTGGACATGATTTCTGCACAGCTTCGTGCGGGGGGACGGCAGAGTTCGTTACGAACTCACTTGTCAAACAGCCAGCATTTCTCCCCGCCCTGCCTCCCCCAACACCTTTTCTTCTCCAGATTACGTGTATCCATCACGCTGGATTCATCTAACTGGCGATTTATCCTTTGTAAATTAAATATTAGGGCGGGGTGTAGTCATTAGCAATGACGAACTGCCCAGCAACCGCTCGTGGCGTTCCCCGAAGGGTTCCGGAGCGCGGTGTTTCCTCCTGGGTGTAAGGACACGTAGCCTACTGGAGCTGCTGTGGCCACTGGAAGCTCTTTCCCAGTTTTCAGGGTCCCCTGGGAGATGTTACCCAAG